TCGCAACGAGGCAGGAGAAAAATAACGGCAGTGAAAGCGTAATACACCACAAAGTCTCTTAACATGATATAAATATACTGCATAACATAAAGCATCGCACAACTTCTTGCTCAACAAGAGTAGTGCTGGCAAAGAATTTAAGCCCAAAAGGGAAGTTAATTCCTATCGTTTTCCTCTCCAGTAGCTTGAGGGGCAGACGCCTGCTCCCTTACCAAAAAAGCTTTAAACTAGTTTTACAACACAGTGTTGTCACGGTCGAAATGGTGCGTGCTAAGCTGATTTGTTGGGGCATGAAAACAATAGTTTTCCTTTCCTGCCTTGTTTGAACGTACATACGTGGAGGTGGTGACATCGAAGAATGCGTAACGCGTTATTTTGTCTGTCTGCATTGCTTTGCCTGTGCTTTGTCGGCGCTAAAGGTAGTGGTGTAGTATAGTTTGAGATTAGGAAAGTCTAGGTGATGCCTTGGTTACGTGCGGCTCTGTTATAAAGCTGCAAAATACTGATTATGGTGTGCGGCTGCATTCGCATGACGTGAGCTACGGATCCGGAAGCAAGCAGCAGTCTGTCACAGGCATAAGAGACATCACGGACGGTGGAAGCTACTGGCAGGTAAGGTGTTACCTCTTCTGCACTGTTAGCCACCGTTTTCCCAAGGTGTTTAATGGTTTTGTTGCTTATTAATGAACGAAAAGTGGCATGTCCCTTTTGCTTTACTTACTGCTGCTTTATGCAAGGGTTGAGATGTTGCATCTCGACAGCTTTTGGCTGGATTTTTTAAAATTCGTGCATTTTAGTGCATTGCTTATCCGCACGAATGTGTTTTTGTAAATGTAGATAAATAACGAGGACAAAAATGAATACTCGTGTAGAGGTGAAGTGGTTAAATGTGGGCAGGTAATCCGCCTCACTCATTCGGCATCTGGGAAAAACCTACACAGCCATCACTTTCAGTCTCCTCTGTCTCGCAATTATGAAGTTTCGGCTTTCGGCCATCATGGAGTTGGTGATGAGGGTGAGCTGGAATAAGAA